AGTCTAGTGAAGTCATCATTGTTCATGTATCTGCATTCCAGTCCACTCTCCTTGACTGCCAGATTGCATCAATGTCATGCAAATTGTTCTTGTTTATTAAAATGGCTGGACTTTTCTTGGACAGACCTTGTTGTAGTTCCTAATTTTACTTATCACCACATTTTACTTATAATTATATATGCTTTAAATCTGAATTTTCAAATATGGACTCTGATAATGTCATATCACCTGAAGTTGCAAGTATCTATATAAATATTTACCAAACAAGCAGGCAATTACATAGCCCTTTTTAAAAAAAAAAAAAAAAGATTTTATTTATTTATTTATTTTTAGAGAGGGAAGGGAGGGAGAAAGAGAGAGAGAGAGAAACATCAATGTGCAGTTGCTGGGGTTCATGGCCTGCAACTCAGGCATGTACCCTGACTGAGAATCGAACCTGCGACACTTACATAGCCCTTTTGGATGAAATGTTCTAGTTTAAAAGTATTCGCTTAAAATAATGAAATCACTTTGCGATGTGTGTTTGGCGCTGTGCACGTGCACCTTAGCTGTGAGCATCGGGGAGGCTCCCGAAGGGGTGAAGAGGGTATCAGAAGGGGGTGGGCCACTCTCTGAGGTTTTGATGCCATCTTTATATGATTTATACCACCCTTTTATGAAAACTAGGGTCAGCATTTCTTGTAAGGGCCTATTTTCTTCCCAATTAGATCTTACTGCAATGGAGTTTCAACACTGCTCTTTGAAGGTTTTCAAGTCCCAGGAATCTGGCCAATAAAATTAACCATGGAGCTTTCAAGGGGACCTGCGAATATCCTCATTTTCTTCCATCTGTCTTTAGCTGACTGCAGAGCAAAAAAATAGAAAAGTGTTTCCTTTTTTATTTTTGGAATATTATTTTAAAGTTGTAGTTTTAATAAACCACCTGCTGGTTTCACAGTGTGTGAGGGTGTGAACTCACCAATCTTTGACATTAAATATATTCCAAAGAACATGGTATGGAAAGTTTGAGGGTGGAGAGTAGACAAGAAAGAAATCTAGATATGGTGTGTTTTGATATATAATTCATTCTTAAGTCATTCAACAAAATGCATATTAATAGATCATACTCTAGATTCCCTTATAAGAAGTCACAGGGTATTCTTAATATTCCCGTGCTTTGGAAATTATTACAATAATGAATTCATCTTTATCCAGTGGCAAAGAGTGGGCTTCCCCAGTCATAAAACAATGCAACGGCTTGCAGAACTTTACAAGGGAAGACCACATGAAAGCTCTGGAACTCCAAGACTCACACTGAAAAGGGTATTTCTGAGTGAGGAGAAGCAATGACTAATGAACGCAACTGCTGATGTAGGTGTAAGGTGTCCTGTTAAACAATCCTTAAGGCCCTGAGTGAAATGAATGGGTGTAGTGGTCAAAGCTTGACAACTAGAATAATGAAGTGTCAGGTTCAAGTGCAGGGGCAGCTGATGGTGATTCCAACAGAGGATTTTGCAGAGTGTTTTGAACAGTGAAAGAGATGCTGGGAGAACTGTGCGAGGTCCCAAGTTACCTACATTGAAGGGGACTGAGGTGTCATTGTCCTAGGTACAATGTTTCTTGTATCTTGCATCCTCTTTAATAAATGTCTTTATTTTTCGTATCACATGGCTGGATACATTCTGGACAGACCTTGTATACCTAGAGGACCGAAAAGGCAGAGAAGCTCAGATCTTAAAAGACTGAAATGTAATGAGGGCAGGAAATATCCAGACAACACAGGACCTATAGAGTATGTTTATATGATAAGGTTGAGTGCTACCTCTTTGATTGGCTGATTTATAATGAGGGACAGAATGTTTCACTGGTAAAGCCATCCACAAAAAAAAAATGTAGCTTTTTTTTTTCAGTCCTGGGCAGTGACCTTGGAGGACACAAGGCATTTCTCCTAGCCCTCTTTCAGGATGCTGTGGAATGATGTGTGAGGGGCACCTCCGTTACTGAGCAAGGTGGGGACCAATATCCTGACTGATTAATAGGAGCAGTCATGAGTGCTGACTCCTTGTGGTAAAGGAAGGTTGGTTGCAGACTGACAATATTTTAGCTTTCTCTCTGAAGCTTCAGCCAAGATCTAGAGTATCTCTGGCAATTTACATTAACACAACACATTTTGAATTTGGGAGTTAGAGTTTATAATATATTGTATAATAACAAAGCAGAGCCTTTGGGTGTTAATGAAGAAAAAAACTTTAAAATCAATAGTTCATGGCTCATGTGAAGGAAATAAATATGGATCCTAGGTCTTGAAGATGTCCTATTAAATGAAGCTATCTGCCTATAATTAGTTGATATAGATACGATTTAATTGTTAAAATATTGAAATAACTTTTTCTAGATATAGAATTTAACTTTTCACAATATATTTCTTGGGAAATACACCCCTGGTAAAAGACTTACATTTCATAAATAATGTTCCTGGCATCTACATTTCCAAGCAATTTCTGAATTGGTTTCCTCTGCTATCACTAACTGACAACCTGTGATTTATGGATTGGGAATAATTGAATTTCTTGGCTGTCATATACTTTGAGTAAGAAATATTACATGCGTTTCCAGAAAAATGATTTAAGGAAGAGAAGAGTGAAGTAATGTCAAGCTTTGAAACTTTATTTGGAAACTGTGTTCTAACCAAATGGTACTTAAGATGCTCTAAGTTTCTGAAATGTGTTTAAATAACCTTTGAAGAAATGTTGAAGTAGTTTGAGACAGATGGATACCAAGCTTGCTACTTTTGAGCTAAATCGATAAACAAAAAGGAGACTGCAGCTTATTGTTGTCCTCACCTTTCCAAGCTCAAGAAATGTAGTTTTCATTGACGCATGGTGAAAGGCTGAATAAATTTCTTCAAAAATTGGAGTTACACAACATTTCATTTTGCTTGTCAAACAGAAAATATTTAGTGATTTAGTGAAATCATTCCAGGACCAGATTTCTTTTTTTGAAAACCATGAAATCTCTAAAGCAACTTCTCAGTTTTATTGTGGGTTTGACTTGCACTGTTTCGGGGGGAGTTTTTGCAAGTTTTGGTCAGGTCACGGATTGAATTGGTCCATCAACTTCAAATTCCATACCATTCTATCATAATGATAATTAGTTGACTGTGGCAGAACCTGTATAAGTATTGAAGCTTCCAAAGCACCTCCCCTCCATGTGCTCTTTTTTAAGTCTCTTAAAAATTTGTATTTATCGATTTGAGAGAGAGAAATATGGAGATGTTGATTTGACGTTCCACTTATTGATGCATTCATAGGTTGATTCTTGTGCGTGCCCTGACTGGGAGCGTATTGGGTCAATGTTCTAACCCACTGAGCTACCCAACCAAGGCCCCTCTGTGTGCTTTTGCCTAGCACTGACCAATAGGACTTTCTGAGATGTTGGAAATATGCTTTAACTGTTGTCCATATGCGGCTATTCAGCCCTAGGAATGTGGCTAGTTCAACTGAGAAACTGAACCTTTGCTTTTGTGTCGATTAATTTATATTTAAATTTAGATAACCCCATGAGACAAGCAGTGGCTATTGCATCAGAATATATCAGCTGACGTTAGAACAGTGAGTCTGTGGCCTGGAGCAGGTAGAGTCTGCATTAACGTTGGCTGCTCTGGCTTGTGCTCAGAGGCTTTCCTCAGTGGTTCTACATTTAGGAGGCAATAATTCCCTACCAAAGAGATAGATGAAAATTTGTTAGGACGTTTTTGGTTGTTCTGACTGGGGTGTCCTCCTGGCATTAGTGGGTGGGGCCAGAAGCGCTTAGTGACCCAAAATGCATAGGACAGTCTGCACAATGAATTACCCTCCACCTCACATTGGCTGCCAGCAGCAGCCAACTTGAAAAATGGAAATAGATTAGCAGAGTTCTCTAAGTTCCTCAACTTAGCGATGGGGTTACATCATCATAAACCCATCATAAGTTGAAAATATGATGTCCAAAATGCATTCCAAACACCCAACTACAAATTTCAGGACTCTCAGCCTACCTACCTTAAATGTGCTCAGAATACTTACATTATCAGGACATAATCCCACCATCAGTCAAGGAGTAGCTGTGATTTCCTCCCACCTCTTCTTTTCATCAGAAGAAGAGACATTTATGGGCATTTTGTAAATATGATGGGATGAGAAAACAACCAGCATGACATCCAAGAAACGCTGGCAGTACAGCACACCGCAGAGCGTCGGTTGTTTGCCCTCATAACTGTGTGACTGACTGAAAGGTGAGGGTCACTACTGTCCAGCACCACGAGAGAGGATCACACTGCATATTGCAGCCCAGGAGATGAGCAAAATGCAGACTTCAAAGTACAGTGTCTACTGAATGCGTATAACTTTTGCACCATCAGAAAGATGAAAAATCCGAAGTCGAACCATTGAAAAACAGGGGCTATCTGTATTGTGGTTTCATTTGTGAGATCTGTGATCTCAGTCCTATCTGGAGTTAATTCTGTCCCTTGTGATCTGATCTTATTTCCTCCTGCCTCCCCAGGGACCTCACTTTCCAAGTATGCTCATTTTGTCCTGTATGGACAGCCATTCTCTCTCTCTATTTGAGCACGCTCTAATCTATCCTTTGTCAAACAGTACCTTTCCTTTTTTAAAAAAAGTTTGTATTTATTTTATTTTTAGAGAGAGGGGGATGGAGGGAGAAAGAGAGGAAGAGAAATGTTAATGTGTGGTTGCCTCTCATGTTCCCCCTGCTGGGGACCGGGCCCACAACCCAAGCATGTTGAGAGGGAACCAGAGACTCTGGTTCGCAGGCTCTCTCTCAACCCACTGAGTGACACCAGCTGGGCCCAGATAGAACCTTTTCTTAATTCCATATTTTGGTTGGGACCATCTCTGCCTCTCATTCCCTGTAAAACTCAGAACAGAACTTTTATTCACCAAGCTATTGAGGGAAATTATTTTTTGTATCACGATGAAAGAAAGCCCACACCAAATGTAATTTCAAAACACACTATTTTATTATGCAGACATATGAACAGAGTCATCATACCATGTTCCACTTTCAAACAATTGCATGTATTTGTGTGTAGGTGTGTACACACATACACATATATGTTTAAAAAGTTACAGGATGAGTCCATTTTTGTTCTTTCATGCTACAATAGCTGCCTCTTTTGTAGCTAGTCTCCACAGCACACTACCATACCAGTTTCATGTATATTTTTCTATTTTTGTGTCACTTTAGTTTTTCCCAAGGGTAGGCTTCTACTAAACTGTAATGTCGTCACTTAAAAATATTCTAGTTCACACTTCAGTGTTTGTGAAAATTAAATTTTCAGGTACTGCAATGCTGTCTTCCTAATTTTCCCTACCTACCTCAAAAAGAATGACTATACACTCCAAATATATCACTCTAAGTAACCGAGTCCTGAAAATATTGGGTAAAAATAACTTACATTTAAAGATATAGCTATACTTGGTTATATATACTGTAGACTATTTAGAAAATTGTGATGATTGTATTTCTTCTTAACTCTATGTGAAAGCAGTGATATGCCTACTTTTGTCCTTTAAGTGTGATTTCATGAATTATTTCAAAGGCATTCAAACATCTTACTGATGTATTATAACTCTGTGTTGTGCAAACATGCCTACAAGGAAATGCCACCGAAAATTAGAGTCAGTGACTATTCTTTCAGTACAAAACTACAACTTTAGATAAACTCAGTAAGACCACACACACAAAATGTTGGCATTGTACAGTTTAGATTTCCAGAAACAAAGACCATGCCTGCTTGTGGCATCCAATGAATAGTGCTGATGTGGATTCACTATCTGGGGTTGCATTTATGGCAACTTCGGTAATCTACTGGGGAATGAAATCATCCAAATGAGTTGGGACACTTCAAAAACTACACCACACAATCATAGTCCAGCTATTTTTTTTTTACTATATACAGCCAGAAATTTTTATGAGCTCATTTAAACATGGTAAGTGATTATAATGCTGCTCTAAAACTAAAAGACCTTCAGATTTCCACTAACTGGAATTATCATTTTTCTTAGCACAATTAAAAGCTGTATTTTTGCATCTAAATGACAACATGTTCTCATACTGGGTATTAAAAGTGTTGATTTACTTATGGTTCAGTAAGTAACACACAAAAATGAGTTGAAAATTGATTAGCTTTGGGGAAAAATAAAAATATACAGTACAGTGAGAGTTACATATTTAAAAATATCAGAGTTCTTTATGTGCTACCAGAGGTTATGTTCTTACAAATATTTTCAAAGACCGTACTATTTTCTTGCCTATACATTTTGTATAGGTCACTATCTTAACATTCCATCATGGGAGAATTGATTCTTGCTATGCAAATGCAAGCCTATCTTTTTATTTCCTTCTATAGAGAACTCTTTCAGGTTCTTTGGATCTATGCACTCTTAAAAATGGTTTGTCTATATTGGTCCATGTGAACTGTAAAGCAAACAAAACACTAAATTCAGTTATAGCAAAGCTCACTGTAACTTCATCATTTGGGAATAATTCTTCTTCCTTGCATATGATTTAATTGGGCTGCAAGTGGTTAAAATGTATATATCAGGAATAACCATTTGTCTGTAGTTATGAATGTGGAAGTATGTAATTTAAAGTTATGTTTATAAATCAATATTACTATTGTTATTACATAAACACCATAATAATAGTGAAATAGCCAAATAATTCAGTAATTTATCTTTATACTACACTGTTCAGATCAGTCGACTCTATAAATCCCAGCGACAATAATATGTACACACACCAGATGTATTAAAAAGAATAAAAATGAGCAAATTTAGTAGAAATTCAAATATGTGATTTTGTAGGCATAGAAAAGCCTTGAACAACTGCCTTTGCCCCTCTGTGGGGACAGAATCTCGATGATACCTGCCCAGGATCACAATTTCTCTTCTACCACTTACTCCCATTCACGAATGCTATACATATGTGCTGTATATATTGTCGATATTCACAGTATATACATGCACATACACATGCATACTTGTTTACTCTTAGGCCCCTTCATGAACTTGCAGACCGATCTACACAGTATAATCAATACCTGTTTATTTGCCCTAAATGATATTCATTTACAACTTTTTCGCTCTTGTGCAAAAATGCAAAAATATCATACAGATTAGTATTCTTTCTCTAAAAATCTTTTTATGCTTTAAGTTTTTTTGTCACTTACAAATAAATTAGGAAATATAGTTTATTCAAATTGAAAATCATTACAATGTTTTTACAAGGCATTGCTGAGGTTTTGAATTGTGGCGTTCTTGAAACCATCGTCTTTCAAAACAAGAACTCAGTAAGTTATTGTTATTTCTTGATAGTTGCAATTTGGATTACTTACATGAAATACATCATGACAGATCTAACGCTCATGCTAGTCAAAAAGTGTTTGTATAGAATATGAATCCTTCTGTTTTATCTATTCCTTGTTTTTTTTCTCAAAAAGTCTTTTTAAGAGCCATCTGGAAAATGTTGAAATTACTGTACCAGAACATTTCTGGAAAGTTTTTCACCCAGTAAAAAAAGCTGAAGACATAAGTGAGGCAAAACTGAGGAAGAATAATTTTAGTGGATGTTCAAGAGAGATAACAGCAAATGCAACAAATGTTTTAGTTTTATCTCCCAGTCCTTTGGTGTTTCCTTGCCTCATGAAAATCCTAAAAAATGTTCAGTTCTTTAAACATCGGCTATACTCTTCCATTGAATATCAGTTGTGGTCCGCCATTGCTCATGCTGTCTGTCATTTCCTGTTAGGAAAATAACATGAATTAATTAAAATTTCTATCAGAGTAAAGACATTGATTTGGTTGATGGGTTTGCAAAACAGAAATTTGAAGCCACTGAAGAACTTGCTGGGTTTGGGGGAAGGACAAGGATTGGTATTGGTGTTGCATTGGAGGCAATGGAATTTCATTGGACTGCATCTTGGGGCACACAAAAATACTGAAGTGACAGTCTGTGAGACTAAAGTCTTCTGCCCACAGAAACAGTGCAGTCTAGCTCCAGTTCTGAGTTTCCCCTTTCATTCCCCAACTCTGTTTCGGAAAGACCTCACCTAGAAAGAAGATGGTTATATGCCCAAGTGTCTCTAATGTAGAGGCTCCTCTGCTGAGCATGCCAGCAAAGAGCCAACTAGGGGTTGCCTTCATTCTGCAGACAAGTATGTGGCCTTTTTGCTGAGAACTGGAAAAGGCCCACTAGGGGATCACTGCTTATTTGTAACTATGGCTCACTAATAAATCACAGTGGAAAAATTACTTTTATGACACTGTCACTCATACAGTTAAAAAAAAACAAACAAACAAAAGGAAAACACAACATGTTTTTTAAGGGATCAATTGCTAAGCTAATGAGAAAACTACATGGGATAGCAATTACAACTTAAATATCAAGGATGAGCTAACATAAAAAGTTCCATTTGCAAAGATAGAAAATATGTTAATTTAAGAAAAATTTAGAAGCTTCAAATTTGTATTTTATTAAACCTTACATTCTTCCCTACACAATAAAATGTAGTGAGGAGATGTGAGGTCTGTTCACATTAATAGTGGTTAGTGCACCATATTATAAATAATATTTAGGCAAAACTATCCAAAAATAGGTAAACAGCATCTTTCCTCATTTGAACAAGCCTACTTGCAACAGAACAGTAAAGAACAATTCAAATGAAAATTATTTTCCCAATTATCTCATGTCTATCAGTTTATATCTACTTTCTGTTTGGATGAATTAATAACTACAAAGTAGAGTGTTTGCTTTTATAAGCTTTGGAAATTATTCCAGATATTTATTTGAAAACAAAAAGTTATCCATACCTCGTTTTTAGTCTTTTCTCTTTGAAAATTCAATACACATGTTAAAATAGAGTGAAAATGCTTGCTTTTTTGTATTGGGGGTGTTTTAGAAAGTTTCTGAGGAGGAGCAAAGAGGTACATGAAGATAGGAACTGGCCTGGTGTTTGAACATGACTTTCGAAAACTTTGCTGCGTTTTAGAAGATGGGGTAGAGTTCCTTCCAAGAAAATTCTGGGGAAGGAGACAATGGGCATGCAAGACGTTTCCTCTCACATCAAGACCAGTCTTCCCAGGCGAAGTGCCCTGGCCCCTTCCAGGCTGTAGGGGGTTGGTCATCTTGTCCCTGGGCATCCATTGTGTCTCCCCTAGTAAGCTACTAAGAAATTACCAGAATAAAAGAGCCTAAAAAGTCAAACCCCTTTAGGATAAAGGCTCTGACAGGAAGCAGAGAACATCCCTTAGAGCCCGCAGCCGGCCTCTGTGCCCTGGTGACGGTACAGCGAATTGAGGGGCTGGCCGTGCTAGAGACATGTGAGGCGGAAGTGCATCTGAAACCACACTGAGATTACTGGGCTGTTGTCAAGTTAATAAATAAGAAAACAGATTTAAGGTTTCATTCAAGAACTCAGGGTTGGTGGCAAGGTAAGTAGAAAGAATTCTTCCAAAACAAAATGAACTTTAACAAAATTTACCCATACATCTTTTTCTATTTCTCCTACTAGATCAAAAACACAATTTCCTAATGAATGTATAAGAATGAACTTTCCTAGTTTCCTTTTCTTCTCCTAAAATGACACTGCATTAATAGTGTAGCCTAAAACCATTAAAAACTAATCTAATGTATAATCTTTTATTGCAGGATTAAAATATCTAGTTTCTTAAATCTTAACAAAAAAGAAGAATTTTCTCAACTAAATTCATGCTAATATAGATTCAGTAAAATCACTGATGGAAAGTAACAATGGAAACCAGTTTTTAAATGGGTGAGTATCATACAGTTTATTTGCAAGTAGGCATGTCCTGTTTAACATCTAAATGTGGGCCTGACCAGACGAGAGTATTTGCAAATGGACATCTTTTTGCAATTGGGCCACGGTGTCTATGTGACTTTCTGTACTTCCAATTGTAACCAAACCAAGAACCGCAACTATTTTCAGCGATTCAAAATACGGGAAATAAATTTAAAATGCATCAATCAGATAATTTTGCAAGAAGAAAGTTTCCATACAGGATTTTTACTTTATTCATGTCAGACTTCTTTGCTCATGCAGTCTTGGCATGAGGGAGAAACAGTTTGTCTTGATCAGGTACATCTATTATTAAAAACAAAACTCTGGTCTGAGAATGATGATACTGAGTCAGAATCAATGACATAGCAGAGAATAAAGGAGTCATGAATCATCCAAGCAGAAGTGTGTTTGGATGCCTATAGGCAGGCTGAATATTTTAAATACTCAACCAGATTTCAAGCTTCAGATATGCCATGTAATTGTATGTCTGGTCCTCAAAGTAGCTCTCATGAAAGTGACACTTTGAGGAGCCACATCCAGCATCAGTCCAGACTGATCTGCTGACCCCATGGCTTCCTATAAGAGGCAGCACTTCCTGCAGTGACATTACAACACGGTAACTCCCTGGAAATCAGCGTACCTTGTAGGTAACTCTGGTGTCGGGGGCACCACCGGGCAGCTGGGCAAGTCGGTTATTTCAATAGCCCTCAATCTCTAATGTAAATATAACAATCATACAATAAATATTGCACACACATATACACAAAAATAAATCACACTAGTATTAAAAAATAGAGCATGAAACAGCCACTCTCCAAATAGATAATGATAATCTATTTTGAACAGCCCATTGCTTTACATGACCAGTCTTAGTATTTCTACTATTAACTCTTTTTTTGAAGGACACACATGAATCTAAAATTGCTTTCTAAAAACACTTTAAGAGCCTTTACTCTCCTTAGTTGAATGCATAGATTGTATACAAAATAGAAACATAAAACTACAGAAGAAACTTTTTCTTTAAAATAACATTGTATAGAAATATGCAACAGTAAGTCTTGCTCTTCTTTCTTCAGTTCTGTAGTTATGTAGTTTTATTTCCATGATATCAAGTAAATTATGATGTAACCACTATCTTACTGAGTTTATGTCACAGATGCTTTATCTTTTCCTTAATAGATCCAGTGGCAGGAACTAAATTTAAAAATATGTGCAAATATGGTAGAAACACAGACAGCTCACTATATCATTTGTCCTTTTCTGCAGTAAATGTAACTTCCTGTCTGAATGGGTTTCATGAAACAATTATGCAAAGAACATTGTTTAAAATACCAGCAAAGCTACCCAAATATGCATGAACTGTAGATGAAAATTAAATGAAGCTTTATGTGAATTGCAATTTCTGCACTGATAGGCCAGGCTTTTTGTCGCCTTACTAAAAGGCCCTTTTATGCTTGAAAATCTAATTTACATAATCAAATGCATCTACTTACAAGCACAAGGGGTGGGCTAGAAAGGCGAATTCATCCAATTTCTAAAACTGGCATCACTGAGTGGAGAATGTATTTAGTGTTTTTCCTCAGTATAATACATAAACACCCATATTTACAAAGCATTTAATATTTTATGAAATCCTACTTTAGATACTGTGTTTTTGTATAGGGAGTCTACAAAATTATGTTGAAAATAGGTGTGTCCAGAATTGCAGAGAAAAAAAATAATTGCCCATCCTTGGTCCAATAGGACCAAAATTTCATAAAATGTAATTTCTCACATTCCCATCTAAAGCTCCAAGTTGACTCATCTAGATTTGACTGCGGTCTTCAGCCCCTGCCAGCAGGGAGAGGACAAGGTACAAGACTCACTTTCTCGGCCATCTCGTGAGAGTGGTGCAGCGAATGCTCCCTTTCTGAGAACATCCTCCTCTGTTCATAGCTGGCTAGACGACACGTGAGCCATGAAGAGAGGGTGCAGCCCCCAATCCCAATGCAGGCAAGAGACATGGAGGCGAGATGCAGAGGATAGAGGGAAGAGGTCTTCTTTGTCACTGCCCGGAGGAACTGAACATTCAGGATGCCCCCAATGAGTCCACAGATGCAGCAGGCGGAGAAGAGAATCATCTGGTAGGAAAAAAGAAAGGTGTGTTACTGTTGAGAAAGCAAAGCTGACTCAGTACAGCGCAATCTCCCCTCCACCCTCCCCAACTCTTCCTGTCATTCAAGTTCCAAGCAACTGTTACTACATAGCCTACATCTCCCAAGACTACATAAAGAGTCTTGGGAGAAAAGGTGTAGAAAGAATGAAGGCCATGTCTAAAGAGTGATGGGAGAATTGTAGAGGCTAATCACAATCCTCCAAGAAAAAAATGTAGCTGAAGGTTTCTCTTTATGTAATTTTTAAACATTACATCTTACACGTCTAAAGCAATGGGGCCTTCATCCTTGTCATCACTATAGATATTCTCACACGGAAAAGTGTTATTTGAAGAGGAGTCACACAAACAAGCTGCACTACCCTTCCTTCCTTGCCCTTTTCAGACAACGGGTCTCCCCCGGGACACTCTTTAAGGCTCAAAGATCACTTCCTAGGGTCCGTGTGTGGTATTCATTTTGCCAATATTTAAAGGTCTATGATTTTTCCTATGGCACTCAATAAAATAAACCGCATTTTCCCTTCTTTCCAAACTCTCATAAAAGGACGTGGAAGGCAGTGGGGAGTCCACACTCAAGCACACAGAAGTTGTCCTCCAGCCAGTATCAGAGTTGATGGGGAGTGTGTTCCACACCCCCAAAACCCATGATAGTGCCATAAAACATCTGAAAACACTTACGTTTGCATTCACAGTAATAAAATAAAATTAAATAAAAAATTTTGGGGAATTAACTCTAGCTATAACAACACAGCTGTTTTGCTGCTGTGTAAAATTAACTTTGCAGTCAAGCAGAGCCAGTAATCTTTATGCCTGGTTCCATATTTAACAAGTTAAATCTCCCACAAACTCAAGTTGTATCTTTTTCAGCTTATCGAAGGATTCATGTGTATGTTTGGGAATCTATAAATTGGAAAAGTGGAGACTGTCATCCACAGAAGTCATTAAGGGTTGCATATTCATGTATTTAAAGAGTGTCTTTCTTTCTTTCTTTCTTTCTTTCTTTCTTTCTTTCTTTCTTTCTTTCTTTCTTTCTTCTTCATAATCTCTAATAATCTTCATGGTTTTCTTTGAAAACAAAAAAGCCAGGATTTATTTGTCAGTCTTCTTTTATCCTAAATGAGTAACATTCAACATATGAAAGTTGGCTAGTCACCAGTTCCATTTTTTGAGCTCTGATATTTCAAATACTTCAATGCACAACACAAACAAGTGGGAAACTTACGACAAGTCCAGATTTTTTTTTGGCGCACAATATCCCACATACGCCACAAAGAAGAAACTGAAAGGGAAAAGAACAACAGTTACTTCACATCCAAAGATAAGAGGACGCCTAGTTTTTAGCTTGTAGTTCACTCATGGCATTTGCTCCAGGGAAGTTGGAAAAGTTTACATTCCCATCCAAAGCTGAAAAAGAAAATACTCCATTCCAGAATAGGAAGGGGAAAAAAATGAAAGTTTGTTATTTGCAAGGTTGATATAGGTAACTGTGGTATCTAAGCAAAACTTGAATCAGTTTTACCACAAGGCAAAATTATGAAGTTGATGAATTTAGAGTTCTGTTCCTCCAATTTTCATTCACTGTCTGCTTGTCCCTTCCTACTTTCTCAGGGAAAACATTGGTGTGATACAATCATTCATACTATGCAATTAGAAACCAATGGGCTAGACTGCAGGTAGGGAATCTAGAACAAATGAAAAGATAAGGCATCAGAAAGGGAGATGTTTTTCTATAGACACATTCTTTATACCTCTCAAACTATGCCAGGTAAAATGTCTACCCCTCATTCTACCAGAAATACTCTCCTTGTGAATATGTTGGAAGAATACAAGGGAATGAAGCTACAAGAGTCTCCCCATCTGCTGGGGACATGTTCTGATACCCCCAGAAAATGCCCAAAACCACAGATAGTATTAAACTCTATATATACAATATATTTTTTCCTACACATACATACCTATGACAAAGATTCATTTATAGATTAGGCACAGTAATTTACAAATAATAATAAAAGAACAATAACAATATACTGTAAGAAAAGTTATGGGAATGTAGTCTCTCTCAAAGTATTTTATTGTACTGTGCTTACTTACCTTTTCACTTAAAGCAGTGATTTTCAACTTCTGTGCTGCAGGAATTTTTAAAGTATGCAAAACCTGACTATGTAGTCAGGGGCACTGACCTCTTTCCCCTTAGACTGTCAAATCAAAAAATGACAGCATCCAACACAACAGCCAGCTGGTGTGAATGAATCAAAATTACACCATTTTTTTGATAGATTGGCAAAAAATACATTTTTGGGTGAGCCAGAAATTTTCATAATTAGTTGATGTGTGCCATGAGATGTAAAAGGTTGAAATCGATCACTTAAAGGAAGGACTTTGTGACTCCTCTCTAACCTATCCGAATTGCCAGCATCACTGCTCTTGAGCCTTGGGGCCTTTACTCAGTAAAATAAGGGTGACTTGAACACAAGCATTGTGACAGTACAATAGCTAATCTGATTTTATCACACTACTCAGAATGGTGTGCAGTTTAAAATGTATACATATTTTATTTCTGGAATTTTCCACTTACTATTTTGAGACCATGGTTTTCCATAGGTAACTGAAACAGCAAAAAGCAAAATCGTGGACAAGGGTGAATACTGTATTGATGGCAACTACTTCCCTGTAAGTGAGCACAAGGCTGACCTAATTGCTTTGCAAAATTAGCTGCATCAAATCATCTTTCAATGAGACACTATTAAGACATTTCAGCTGTCAAAAAGGTAAATGGTTTAATTTGGATAGAAACATTTAGGGCCATTTGAATGTACATTTATACATACTTCTGGATGAGAGGAAACCATATAAATAAAATAATCATTCATTAATAAATAGTAAGCTCACTAAGGGCCTTCAGATTAGCAAAAGTAAGTTTGAACGAGGTTAAACTCATTTCCATTTGATTTTCTTCTTTTTAAATTTGCTACCTCAAGTCAGAACTATTTTACATGTTGATAGATTTTTAAAACTACAAATCAAAAGACTTGAAGGATTATCTAAAATAAATTGTATGCTGTGAGAAGCAGCAGTAAAATTGGATAGATAATATTGGGTAAGAGAATTTTCCCTTTGCAAAGGAGTTTTCTGCATAAGGAAACTCAGTGATTATAAAGCAAGCAATGATGCAGCAAGGCAGCTCAGAGAACACAGGGATATATACGAATTTGGTATATAGTATAGGTGATCTTTCAAATTAATGGGGAAAAGATTAGAATAATTTATTCAATAAACAGAATTACGGCAATTTGTTAATCTGCCCCAACATCATATACCAAAATGTCTAGGAAACTGTTTGAATATTTAAATATATAAAAATATAGGACTTCTGGCCAAGATGGAGGTGTAGGTAGATACACTTTGTCTCCTTGCACAACCAAAAGAATGACAACAACAAATTTAAATTAAAAAATAACAAGAACTGGCAGAAAATCAAACTGTATGGATGTCCAACAACCCAGGAGTTAAAGGAGAAACATTCATCCACACCAGTAGGAGGGGTGGAGACAGGCAGCCAGGGTGGAGAGGACTCTTGGAAGGTGGTAGCTGGAGGACTGGGACAGACAAGGAGGTGGCTCACGGACCATGTGAGGTGGCAGCTGGTGGACTGGATGGTCTCACATTTATTTGCAGTTAAACTGGGAGGAACAGCTAGGGAGTGGGGCAGACCATGCAACCCAGGGTTCCAGTGCTGGGAAATGAAGCCTCAAATTTCTGACTGAAAACACCTGTGGGGATTGAGGCAGCAGGAAAACTCCCAGCCTCACAGGAAAGTTTGTTGGAAAGACCCACAGGGTCCTAGAATGTACACAAACCCACCCACCTGGGAATCAGCCCCAGAAGGGCCTGATTTGCTTGGGGGTAGTGGGGGAAGTGACTGAATGCCCACTGAGAGCCCACCAACCCACACTGTTCCCTCTCTGACCCCTCCCCCACATATAACGTGACAGCACAGTGCTGTTGCTTCCACCTCAAACACCTAAGGCTCCACCCCTCACTATATAAAAGGTGCTCTGAGACAAAAAAAAAGTATGGCTCAAATGAAAAAACAGATCAAAGCTCCAACTAAGTGATGAAGAGATAGCCAACCTATCAGATGCACAGTTCAAAACACTGGTAATCAGGATGCTCACAGAAATGGTTGAGTATGGTCACAAAATAGAGGGAAAAGTGAAGGCTATGAAAAGTGAAATAAAGGGAAATGTACAGGGAACCAACAGTGAAGGGAAAAAAAATCGGGACTCAAATCAATAATTTGGAGCAGAAGGAAGAAAGAAACATTCAACCAGAACAGAATGAAGAAACAAGAATTCCAAAAAAAATGAGGGCAGACTTGGAAACCTCCAGGACAACTTTAAATGTTCCAACATCTGAATCACAGGAGTTCCAGAAGGAGAAGAACAGCAGCAAGAAATTGAAAACTTATTTGAAAAAATAATGAAGGAGAACTTCCCCAATCTGGCAAAGGAAATAGACCTCCAAGAAGTCCAGGAAGCTCAGAGCATCCCCAAAAAGTTGGACTCAAAGAAGTACACACCAAGGTACATCATAATTACATTTCCCAAAACTAAAGAGAAGGAGAGAATCTTAAAAGCAGCAAAAAGAAGGAGAGAGTTACCTACAAAAGAATTCCCATAAGACTGTTAGCTGATTTCTCAAAAGAAACCTTGCAGGAAAAAAGGGGCTGGAAAGAAGTATTCCAAGTCATGAAAGACAAGGACCTACATTCAGGATTACTCTACTTACCTATATCCAAGATTGCTCTACTCAGCAAAACTCTCATTTAGAATGGAAGGGCAGATATAATGCTTCCCAGATAAGGTCAAGTTAAAGGAATTCATCATCACCAAGCCCTTATTGTATGAAATATTAAAGAAACTTATCTAAAAAAAGATGATCAAAAATACAAACAGTAAAATGACAACAAACTTACAACTGTCAACAACTGAACCTAAAAAAACAAGAATTAACTAAGCAAACAACTAGAACAGGAACAGATTCACAGAAATAAAGATCACATGGAGGGTTATCAGCAGGGAGAGGGAGGGGAGAGAATGGGAGAAAAGCTACAGGGAATAAGGAGCATAAATGGTAGGTACAGTTAGACAGGGGGAGGTCAAGAATAGTAAGGGAACTGGAGAAGTCAAATAACTTATACATATGACCCGTGGACATGAACTAAGGTGGGGGAATGATTGTGGAAGGGTGGGTACAGGGTGGAGGGAAATAAAGAGGAGAAAAAATGGTACAACCATAATAGCATAACCAATAAAATATATTAAAAAATAAATGTATAAAAATATGAATGTAGAAAGATAATAAAGTTAAATATTTATATGATTTAGAAGAGTAGGGAAGGATTTTCTAAACATACTAGCAAAGTCACACACAAAGGAAAATACCTGTAAACATTAATACATAAAATTGTAATTTTGATAGCCAAAAATATAACTCTCAAAGGCAAAAAAATAAATTGGGATTATATTCAGAAAGCATAGGACAATAGGTTAACAAAGTCATTTCAATATCATAAAACCATGAGAAGATAGAACTCAAATACTTGCATCATTTTTAGAAGCCTTAAAAGCTATTTCCAAGTGACCACTTCTCACTGTCCTCTGTGTCCACGGTGTAGATGATCACGTCCCATACGGCGGAGTCTTGCTTACTGATCCCATCTCACGTCTCTCGGGGCTGGGCTCAAGCCATTCCAGATTGGACCAGTTCTGTACCTCTCGGCGTTTCCAAGATTCAGACCAAAGCACCAGCGTGTTCTTCCCCTTGCTCCCCCAACTAAACTGTTTTTCACCCTGAAAGTCCATTCACCTGGAACTCATTCTTGAAATAATTTGAAAGCAGTTCTTTGGATCTCTTTTGAAATCTATAACCATTGCCATTACTTACTCACAGCCAAGCCTGAGGGGACCTCAGGAGAGGTGAGCAGAGTTCTCCACGCAGCCACTTTGTTGGAGCATCTAGGTGGCAATAAAATCGCTTCTATCTATTGTTCCACTAGGAAAAGGAAGTTCAGGACTTGGGAGGAGGAATGCAGAGTAGGAGGAACATCAGATAATATTTTTTTTCACTCTCAGTCAACCCTGGAGTGTAAGTACTTCCCCATAGTTACTTTTGTTAGGCGACCCAAAATCCACATTCCTTAGAGGAAACTTGTAACCTGAGGAAAATTAGACCCATATAATCAGAAGTATCTAAAATCATGGAATTTCTGAGGAGGTT